ACGACGACACTTACATAAAAAAAATGTAGTTGTAGCCGGCATTGACACTTACAAAAAAATTTATCATTATGGGCTACAACGACCCCTAATGAAGCCATCCTATGTTGTTGTAAGCTATAATGACTCATTTTTTGTTGTTATAGGTTACAACAACTCAATCTTAATGGTGTAAGAAAAAAAAATTGCCATGTGTCACTAATATCGCTGTAACCCACGACACTATTTAAAACAACTCCAAAGACATAGGATAATTTTGTAATAGAAACCCATTTATGTAAATAATTTGTAAAAAAACCCCATAATGGTCAAAAAAACCTAAAGTGGCGGTTGCTAGCTTTATAGGGAGCAAGAGCATAACACAATGGTAACTAGTGTAACACCCATTTATTTCTTCATTTATACTTATTATTAAAATAAAATAAAAATAAAAAATTATAAGAAATTATTCAAATTACAATTCATATTTACTAGCATTTTTACTAACTGCTTATAAAAGAAAGAAATGTTGTTTTTTTTTTATTATTAATTAATATTTACAAACCTCCTTCAAATTTCTTAGTTATTTTACAATTATAGATTATTACAAGAAAAATGAAAATTTTCGACAGGCATAATTCGTCGGTAAAAAGGAATATCCGTTGAAAATTTTCTATTTCCGACGGATGCAAATCCGTCAGAAAAAAATTTATCAAAAATAATTTAATCCGTCGGTAATTATCTATAAAAAATTTTTGACAGATACATCCGTCAGAAATTACCAACGGATACATCCGTAAAAAATTGTTTGAAAATCTTTATGTGATTCTATCTGTCGAAAATTTTTTGTTTAATTTTAATAAATTTATTAATATAACATCTCTCATATTTAGCCTCTTTAGGATTCTATTTCACAACACTTCACTTTTCAGTGTATTTTGTCTTTGCTTGCACAATTTTTGAAAAAGTTCCTAGAAGGTCACCCATTCCTATATTATTCCAAATTAAGCATGCTTAACTGCGAAATTCTAATGAGATAAGCTACTAAAATGTTTATTCATGTTGTTAGTATATGTAGTATGAATTAATTCATTTAAGTCATCATTAACTATACAATCTCATATTAATACTATCTCTAGATCCCTCTCATTCCGATGTGTCCAGACTGTTATAAAAATATAATAATATATAATAATTATATTACCAATAATAATAATTATATTATATTTAATTAATCTTTATTTATATATATATACTTACTTTTATATAATTAAAAATCTACTTATTTTTATTTAAAATTAATATTATGATACGATTTAAATTATTTATTATAAATTTGAAAGAATAAATAATAATTTAGATATTTTAAAATATAATTTTATAATTTATAAAATGAACAAGAATTTGAAGGTAATCAAAGTGTTCATATCACTTTATATGTGTATATCAAATTTTGTTAAAAATGAACAAGAACTTGAAGGTAATTAAAATGTTCATATTTTAGTATATTTTGAAATGTATATATTACGTTAATTTTGTTTTATAAGAATGAAGTATCAAATCATCTTGGATTAATATAAAATTTTGTATATATGATTTAAGAGTAAAGAACTTTCAATCTAACGATTGAATTTACAAAATTCACATTTAATATAAGGTTATTAAGCGGTGTAATACATAGTAAAAGTTATACCGGTTATCGATGAAAGCACGTCTAAAAAGTTATATATATATATATATATATGACGAGAGATCTGTTTACTCTAGGAGTAAGTCTACCTAGACCTATGTTGTTCAATAACTCATGTTCTACATCAAATTTCAACAATCTAATTATTGAATTTAAAGTTCTTAATGCATAGATCAAATATGCAATTTTTTTAAAAAATTTAAAATCATTTGATATTTCATTTCATTAATTCAAATTGACGGATAATCCTAAAATCATGTTGTACATCAAATTCTCACGATTTAATGGTTGAATTTAAAGTTCTTAATACATAGAGAAAGTCTGCAAATTTAAAAAAAAAATTAAAAAACATTTGATATTTCATTTAGTTAAAAAAATTGAGTTAATGAAACAAAGTATCAAATGATTTTTAATTTTTTTTTAAATTTGTAAATTTGATCTATACATTAAAAACTTTAAATTTAATGGTTAGATTGTTGAAATTTGAAGTAAAACATGTGTTATTTAAAATAAATATAAGTAAATTTACACTTAAAATAGACCACTCCTTATATATATATATATAATTGTATTACGCTACTTATAAAAAGAAGAAGAAAAACCAACTGAAAAATAAAGTCATTTCTTCAAATAACGACATTAGACGTTAGGAATTTTTTCTATAGACACCTTGAATATATAACTAATGCCGCGTTCCGCAGGTAGCTTTATTGCAACTTAGTCCAAAGTCAGAGACTAACAATAATATATTTGATCAATATTGTGTAGACCAAACTAGACAACAAAAAACAAGTTTTATAACGTTACAAAGAAAGTACTTGAAAGTTTCACTATTTGGTCTTTCAATTTCTTCAAATTCCTTTATAGCTATAATTTCTTCTCCATATCTTTTCTAAGAAACCTTCCACCAAAGGACATATAATCGACCCAAAGGTACCAAAACCTAACACAAGACGTGTTTGTCACCGCGTAAGTACAGTTGAGCCTAAAGTCTAAACTGTAGAATTTTGAAATGGAATTAATTGGATTTTTTTTCTAAGTCAAAATCAATGACAATTATAACTACATGATTTTGTTAATTAATGAGATTTATATGCTTTTGGACAAAGTGTAATGGCCGGCACCTGTCTTATTCCACATGTATTGGATTCGGGAGTACAAGCTCTAGAGTGTCACTGTTTACGAAAATATTATTAAATATTATATTTCTATTTTTCTAATTAATTATAGTACGATATATTTAACTTTGTTAACTTAAAAAAAAAACTAATAACACTTATTTATATGTTATATAAAAATTATATAGGTGTTAAATGATCTAAGCTTACTTGATAATCTTACAAAAACCCATCTATTTTATAAAAATTAATTTGTTAGTTCAATAGTTATTTTTTTTTTGATAAAGTGATTTTTTTTTATATAAAAGTAGATTGGATATTTTTACAGCTAAATATTTATTATATATAATTAAATCTTATAATAAATTGTTTATATAATTAAATATTATATTTAAATTTTATATAATAAATATTTTTCAACATAAAAATCATATTTTTATTTAAGATAATTAATTTATATTTTGACACAAAATATTGTTTTAATTATTGATAATTTATTTTAAAGTAATAAATTTTAATTCATAAATAAAGATAATAAATAAAAAGTTGTAAAAAAATTCCTTAAAATGTTCTCACACAAAATATGTATTCATATTTAATATATAAGAGTTGTTATATAATTTATTTATTTTTAAATCAAACTGATTATTTTATAAAATCCAATTTTGTCGACTAAATTGTTTTCTACAAAATGAATGGATTGATTTTTGTTTTCGTCTTTTCTTAAAACGGATTAATTTTATTCAGATTTTGTGCTCACACTTAATTATAAGCCTCGATCATGAGTCAAATTTCTTGCACGTTCTTTCCATTGCCTGCACGTTAGATTCAACTAGTGACCGTATATTTTTTTGGCAACAGTTATAGAGATAGTATGCGTATGTGACTTCATGTATGGATACAAAATCAACTAACCGAGAAATTAAGTATTAATTAAGTATAAAAATTTTAACGTAAAAAAGAAAAGAAAAGAAAACATGTTTTAATATCGGTGCACGTGCCTGGCTAGCAATTAGCAAACAAGAACGTTACATCGAATTAACTAATAGAGCACTTCTTAAACTCGAAAATATATAGGACTTAAGTCTATTAAAAAAAAAAGTTAAAATTTGTCTTTAATTTTTTTTAAATATATTTTGATGCACTTAAACTAGAAGTAATTACAAGTGAGTTTCTTGTTTTCGTATATGACTTTCCACGGAGAACGCGGTACACAAGCAACACGCTTTCCATCCTTGATCCTTCCAAGAAACACCTAGTTTGACCAAACTCCTAGTCTCCAAGTGTTCTAAAAAAAAAGACAAACATAACAAGAAACCATATTATACAATATACATAGAAAAACATATTGTAAGTACAAATTTTATTCTTAGAGCTGTCGTTGCATGCAGTGTTATAAGCAATGACCGATCCCAAAAATGTTATGTTGTGGGGAGAATATATATATATATATATATATATATATATACAAAATTTTGTAACTTTTGGTTAACAATATTTAAAAGAATTTGTTAAATAGTATGTTGTAAGTAGTTTCTCTTTCTTACTTTGAATACAATCAATATTTTCTTTCAATACCATTAAATTTATAGAGGATGTTTCATGACCATTTATTTAAGGAATATGAATGCTAACAACAAATTATCTAACATAAAAATATATTAAGTAGTTTAAGATTATCAAATATCCATGCTTCTAATACTTTTATATAAATTTTTTATTTAAATTGATAAAAAAATGTTTAAAAAATAATATTTAATTACGTACGTGTTGTATAAAAATAATTAGGTATTGTTATCTAATAATTTTTTTCCTAACACACTCATTCCAATACACTTTTTTTTTATCAGTTTAACATTAATACATATTCATTAAATAATGTTTTGTGATCACTAATAAACTTGAAATGGTTATAATTTAAGAATATTATGCTTGCTAACACTTTTCTTTTCCTCCTATAACTTTTGATACAAGTGATAGAGAGTGTTGACATTTTAGAATCTTGACTCTTGACGCCAAGTCGTTTCATCAAACGTATGCTGCAACCTTTTGTTCGGCCTAAGTGCTTGGCTATTTCCTCCAATATTCCAAGAAACTTCGGCATTGTCTTTTGTTTATTATAATAATTAACATGAAATTATGTTATGCGGCCCACAATATATATAAATAGCAATGTTCTTTTATGCATTTGCCTTCCCTCTGCTTAATTACTACAACCTCCCACACACCAAATCATATTCACTCTCAGCTCTCAAATTCTTCACCTAAAAATGACTGCAAAAAGGTTTTTCAATGATTCTAATCAAGACCCTGATCAGCCAAGCGACAAACGGATGAGAAATACTAGAACCTCTTTTGCTTCGTATGTACTATTTATTCACTTTGTATAATATCTAGCTAGGGTTTATTTGATTGGGCTTGAATATACTTGCTCTTCATCCTCAATCTTTTTTTCTCTAGCTAGCTAGTTTATTTTTTACATTTATAAAGCTTCAGCATCAACTTCTCCTTCAAACTAACTTCTCACTAATACTCTTCTCATTCATCTAATTTTCGTGACAGAGTCATAGGAGAAGTGGTCATGGTAAAAAACTTGGAGAACCTTTTCTCAGTGTTGGAACCTTTGCTCAAAAGAGTGGTAACTCATTCTAAGATTGATAATATGCTATACGATATATATATTGGATTAGTTTGATTTGGTCTCCTCATGCATGTTGCCAACTAACTAAGCCTTAATTTGTTACTATATGTTTTGGCTTTGAACAACTTGTTAACATTCATTAATTTGATGTAGTTTTCACATTGAAGTAAATTTGTACAATGACAAAACTTAGATATAGTGTTATAAGCATTGCTATTTAATGAAATTCTAAAGTGAAACTTTAATTCTGATCGGAGAATAAAACTATCAATACTCATGTTACTATCAATTCTTTTTGTTATCAGGTGAGTGAAGAAGTGGAACGAGTTGTGAGACAATGGTCACTCTCATTTACTAGGTCTCCCTCATTGATGCTCCAAAGAAATGAGCAACCGTCAAGCTTGCAACTATGGTTCAGCAAAAGGCTTTCCCTCCCAATTTTCACAGGAACAAGGATTCTTGACATTGAAGGGAACCCCATCAACATAGTTCTGATGGACAAGAGTGGGGGCCAAGTGGTCCCCACGAGTCTTCCACATGCCATCAAGCTAGAGATTGTGGTTCTTGATGGGGACTTTCCAGCTTGTGATGAGAATGAGGAATATTGGACGAGTGAGGAATTCAGCAGGCACGTGGTGAAGGAGAGAAGTGGGAAGAGACCCTTGCTTGCAGGAGAGCTGAACTTGACCATGAGGGATGGGATTGCACCAACAGTGGACATCGAGTTCACAGATAACTCAAGCTGGATTCGAAGCAGGAAGTTCAGAGTTGCAGTGAGGGTGGCACCAGGGAGCAATCAAGGTGTTTGGATTCGTGAAGGCATGACTGAAGCATTTATGGTTAAGGATCATCGTGGAGAATGTAAGTTACATCAACTTGGTATATTATATATATATATATATATATATATATATATATATATATATAGAGAAGAGTGTTCAAATGACATCGGTGTAACTTTTACTAAGTGTTACATCGTTCAATAACTTTAAAATAAATGTGAATTTTGTAAATCCAACCGTTAGATTAAAAGTTCATATCACTTTATATGTGTATATCAA